CGGGTTTTACATTTAGGGGCATTATTTTTAGGGAGGTAGTAACTTTGGGATGCTTGGTTTTATTGCTTACTCACACCTTCTGTTTGGTGCCCTTCAGGTTTTAGCTGCTAAGTTTGTATCGACAAGAATCTGTGGCGAATCTTAGTATTGATGGATATTTTTGAGGGTATGATTCTTACCCACATTACTATACCTTACTTATGCTCTGACATCGCGCGTGAAATGGGTTCGCTCCCACTCGTAGCGCACTCTGGTATTTAGACACTTTTGGATTCAAATTCATTCACTTTTTATACACTATCACATTTTATGGCTTCGTCACCTTCCAGGTGTCGGCCAGCACAGCTCGATTCAGGGTCCAAGTGGACTTTCTGGGTCGGGGTGTGTAGTTAATTCTTTCAATCTTTCTTGTGACATAATTGATCAAAGATAAGATTTGATCAACTTAGTGAAAAACTTCTTTTTGCAAAGGCAATTGTAACTGGAATGGTTAACAAAATTTTATAAGCAACCCGTGCATTTGGGAAACAACTATCCATTTGTCTCAGATATTTCAACACTTCCATTGCTGAATTTATTTCATTCGGCAAAGTTTATCTCAAAATTCTTAACCTTTGAAATAAGTTTTTTCTATTAATATCAGAATGCTCACCATGTAAAGACGCAAGAGGGTAGATTGATACTTTTGGAGAAAACGAGGAGAGAAAGCAAGTGGGGTTGTATCGAGAAAAAAGACTGTCATTTTGATTTTTAAATTTAATTAGATTTGAAAGAGTAAAATTATATTAGATGTGGGTGAGCAAAAAGAAAAAAATAGTTTTTTTTTTTTGTGGAAAATTACATTATTGCTTATGGTTTTATATTTGATATTTCTTATTGAATTTAAATTGTAAATTTTTTTATCTGTATAATAAAAAAAAATTGGAGCCCCTCCTAAGAGATGACTCTAGGCAGGCGCCTACTTCGGCTACTCTCAAGGCCGGCTCTAATTTTCCTCACAAAGACAAAAGACAACGCCAAATTAATATAGATAATAATGCTACGCGAGTGCACGACTACACATTTTTTGAATCACATTATTGCTAATCCATTATGAGGCTAAGCCCACCCTTCCCCCCTTAATGTAGATAATATCGTTTGTTCAAAAAAAAATTATTAATCATTTGACAACTAATAGAATCACATTATTTTTATAACCGGCATTACGCGCCTCTTAAGATGTTTTGAACGTGTTTAAAAACAGAGAAAATAATATTTAATAAACAACTTATTAAATCGCATTATTGTTAGCCCATTGTGAGATACTAATTACAAAAAAACTGTACAAAAAAAAAATTAATCATAAAAAAAAATTGTTTATATGACAAAAATACCCTTGCATTATTTTGCACTGTTTCTGAATTTTTTTGTTTGGGAGGGCATTTTTATCCCACTATTTTTTATGAAGCCCGTGACCTCAAATGGGCTTCCGGCTTTATATAGTAGTATAGATATATCATTTTAAATGGTTAATACCTTATTTAAATAAGGCTTAACCAAGATCATAAATCGGCTAGGATTGTTTGAGTTTAACCCGTGTTTAGCTCAATTTTATTTCATTCAAGCTTGATAGTAAATTAAGTGAGCCGAGCTTGAACAAGATATTAGATTCGTTAAAAAAATTAGTTGAGCTTGAGCTTATGTTTGCCTCACAAAACTAATAAGTAGAGCAAAACCAATTAAAATATCATGTTTAATTTACAAATAGGCTTGAGCTTAAAAAAAGTCACCTTAGCCAAATTTGAGCTTTTGATTACAATTTTTTTTCAAGTTTAAGTATCTTGATATTCATCTTGACTCGGTTTATTCACACTCCTACTACATTTAACGTGAATCTTAAGTACTAAATTCTAACTTCAAATCTTCTTGTCCTAAATTTTAAAATGAGTTTTTTTTTAACACAATATAAAATAATTGGATAAGGGAATTGCCCGAGTCCTTGGTACCCACATCTACATTTTGTTTTTTTGGTTCAAATTAAATCTTGGAACCCATTTGATTTGCAAGGGATTTTGGATTACTCGAATTTTAGATTTTAACCTCGTAAATTATTATTTGTCCATCACAATTCTAAAGTAAAAAGCTCAAGTAGCAAACAAAAACAGAACAACCAACAACCAAAGGGTGGCCCTCACTTCTTAAGTTTTATTTTTGACGCTGGTAAATCGCACAATGATGGTTAAGGAAAAGTTTAAATGTCTCTATGAGTCTTCTCCACCCCCAAAACAGTAAATTACCGTGACGAATCTACCAACTGGTTTCCTTAAAAGAAAAAAGAAAAAAACAAAACAACCCAACGCCCAATCATCCACAATTCGACATCAATGCAAAATGAGGATCCTCTTTGTGAGGATTTCAGTGATCCTCAAATAGTATCCATTTATTGTATATCGTGCGGTTAGTTTTCTTCAGATCCTATTCATGTTTAATTTTAAAAATAAATATTTAAAATAATTTATGATCGCACTATATGCAATGAATTGATACAATTTGAGGATCCGGTGAGGATCCTCATTCATTGATGCGACCTCTCAAGCTACAGTGCTGAACTACGTACCAAAAAGTCAAATAGAAACCAAAGATTGTATCATATTTTTGCAAAAGTAAAAAATGTTATCAAGTATCAAGTGCTCAAAACAAATTTAAACTTCAGTACGTGTCACAACTATTGATTTTTAATTGTTAGAACATCATCTAATACAATGATATGTACAACCCTCTTACTTAAGTCAATTTCCTCTGGCTGGTTCTCAGAAATTGAGAGTTCAAAGTAGGATCTTAAATTTCTCTAACTTTCGATTCTTTATGCATTGATATGTACAATAAAGAACTCGCTAAATACATAAAAAAATTATTTTTGCATCAAATATCTTTAAAAAATAAAATATACAAACATTACTTAAATATTTTATTCTCGCGTTTTTAGACTCAAATGTACTAATGAAGTTTACGAAATATAATTTTTCAACCAATTGTTTTTTAATTGATAAAATATTTAATCCTTTTTCAATCTTTCTTGAGATATAGTTGATAGAAGAAAAAATTTGATCAACTTTATGCAAAGGCAACTATAACTGGAATGGTTAACAAAATTATATAAGCAACTCATGCATATGGTTAACAAAATTATCTTAGATCTTAGTCGTTGGATTCAATGAATTTACAAATATAAAACTAAAAACAAAAATACACATATATAATGCGCCAGCCCCACTAACCTGGGGGAATCTTGGGCTAAATTTGCCCTTGAAATAAGTTTTGGGTTAAAACTCATATTTGCCCCATTGAGGCAAGTTGGGGTAAGTTTAGAATCTAAATTTTGAGTTTTACTCCAAGGGTTGGAGTAGGCCTGAGTGAGGACCCTAGGCAAACGCCTACTTCGGCTATTTTCATGGCTAGTGTTGGGGCCCAAAAATGTCACACACCAATCCAACCAAGCCTCAAGGCCCAATTGTCATGCAAAAGTCTTCATTCAAGCCCAAACACATGCCAAGGTGTGGGATCGATAAGGAATCTATTTACAAACATGTCATGCCGTGGTAATTAAGCTAGATATTTACATAAATCACGCCTGTCTATTCATCACACCAAGCTTCCTCATGCTCGTCATTATTCATGCTATGCCCAAGTCACATATTCGAGGCTTGTCAAGTGAACTGTTGTGGATGGTTACAGAAGGTTATTAGGCCTATACGGAATCGAGGTTATGGAAGACTTTGGGCTTCTTAGGGCCCAGGGATCCAAGCCCATACCTTTGCATTTCACGCATGCAACATTGAGAGAGAACTAGCCTAGTTTACCTTTTTCCCTAGCAAGCTAATTTTCTTAGTTAGGACTAAACTAGATTCCTTCATTAAATGTATGTTAAACCTAACAAGTCAGGCATTTAATGTTGATTTTCCCTTCCCAGCTTGCACAGACAACCAACGCACGAAAGCCATGAGGCGCGCTACCAGAAGTAGCGCTTATGGAAGGCTGGCCTGGGAAAGCTGCGTCTCAGGAAAAAGCAGAATCCAGGTCTCAATAGTGCAGCTACATTACACCAAAAGGGAAATAGTAAGAGGGCTATGGAGAAAGGAAGGGGAAGACCAAGCCATAAAGGGAGATTCCTCTAAAGCCTAGAGGAGAACCCTTCACTTACAAAATGAGGGAGAAAAGCCATTAGAAAGAGAGGCAACACAGAGACATAACAGAGAACGCAAAGAGATGGAACCACCCAGGAAATAAGCCCAGAGAGGTCCATTTAGCCCAGAAACATACTCCAAGCCTCAAAAATCATCATCCATGCAACCTTAGTAATTCCCACAGCCTTCTATTAAAGATCCCAACCATTAAAAGCTTTGTTATCACCCTAGGAAATCCCAAATGATCCAGCAAATAATCCCATGCAACCATGCAAACCCCTTTTCTCTCATGCTAAACCAGTAATCTTCTAGCTTTCACACCACACTTCACTTGAGCACGTCATTATCTTAATCAATCATGCTATCTTTGAGTCGTTGATGTTATACGGGTATTTCCTAAGACAAGCTAACTCTTTTGAGATATTCTTGGACTTGTTATGAATCCAAACCAAGAGAAACAAGATGACATTCTCAAAGCCCAAGTCCACCTCGACTTAAAAGTCCCCCAACAACTGGCTTTCCCCACAAAGACAAAAGACAACGCCAAATTAATGTTCAACACACATCATTTAAGAAAAACTATATCCAAAAACTTAAATTTGAAGCTTAATCAATATTTAATATGTTGACAACATTTGATATATATTTAAGATGATCATCTCAGTCAATTTAATAAAAAATGGTTATTTTTAAGATTTGTCGGGTCCAAAACCAAACCCGTAAGCCCACGGACCATAATTGGGCCGTCGGACAAAACCCCACCCGCGGCCAATGGGCCAAACGGCACGCGTTTCCTGGAGCCGAATCATCATCTTTCCTTGTTCTGTTTGGAGTTGGTTATAGTCCCTCCCGGTCTGCTGCACCAATCTATCTGGTCCCAATGGCGTGCCGTATTAAATTCTCTCTCCGGTGTTCTTCCTCCGAAACGCCGCGTTTTGGTTCCACTTGTCGCCTCCAAAACCCTAGCTCCCCTCTCCTACTTAATCTCACTCACTCCTTTTCTTCTTCTTCGAATCCCAAAAAGGTAAAGATCGTCGCTTTTTCTTTTTAGCCACGAATAATAAAAACGCAATATATTCTCCGTCCATTTTTTGGTCCTTGGTAATTTAAGCATCAAACCGGGTGGTTTTTGTATCGGCAGATCTCGTATTCAGGTACGCGGCGGCGCAGCCTCGTTGCGGTGAAGTCTGAGATGGCCACGGAGGAGAAAGCGGCTTCCGGGAACAGAATGCTTGTTAGTTCACTGTACACTATTCACTGTTCAACTTATGCTCTGTTTGGTTTCTGATTGGTTAACAATCTATGAATTTTGAATTTTTAAGTCTTTTTGTGGTGTTTGGAACTTGCTGCCCAAATTTTGGGTGAATTTTAAGAGATGGGAATAGATCATGCTGTCAGAATCTGTGATTTGGTGTGTGAATAACTGAATATTGTCCTGAATTCAAAGGGTTGATTGGGTTTTTTTTTTCAGGTTTTCGTGCCGCCGCACCCGTTGATCAAGCATTGGGTTTCGGTTTTGAGAAATGAGCAAACCCCTTCTCCAATTTTTCGTAAGTTACAAATTAGTTTTTTCGGTTCTATGTAATGTGAATATTTGAGTGGATTTGAAGAGTCCCAGATGATAAATTCATTGTCAAAGTATCTGGCTTGATTGTTAAACTCTATTTAAGTGTTTGGTTTTTATTTTTTGAGCTTAGAATAGTTAAACGTTATTGAGTTGCTTACGAGGCATTGACTTTCGTATGCTTTAGGAAATGCCATGGCTGAGTTGGGGAGGCTTCTTATGTATGAAGCTTCAAGAGATTGGCTGGTTAGTTTTTCGTAATTTACACTCACAAGTTCGCAACCGCAATGATTTTGAGGATTATGTTCTATTTTCATCATATGAAGTAATTTTGCTTTGTTTCTTTAAATTTCAGCCTACGGTCACAGGAGAGATTCAGTCACCAATGGGTGTTGCATCAGTTGAATTCATAGATCCAAGGGAGCCTATTTTGGTTAGTTTTTAGTATTGATTTCTTGCATTTTTATCATGCAAATATGTTGCTCCCTGTATAACTGTATATCTCTATTTTCTATTGATGGTTGAACATCCTGTTCACTTGTTCAGGATATATCGGCTAGATGTTCTCTTTGGATTTTCATATTAGTTGATTATGGTTTGCTATTAAAGATTGTTTCAGTGGTTGTCGTACCACGATACTCTCACTGTACAGAGCAGTGAGGCGAGTGTTATTTGATTTTTATTGTTTTAGTTTTGCAGGTTGTTCCAATTTTGAGAGCTGGTCTAGCACTTGCAGAACATGCATCGTCAATCTTGCCTGCCACAAAGACGTACCATCTTGGTAAGAAGGGTTGGTGCATTGTTCACTTTGCAGTCGAAGTAAACAAGAATGTTTGGCGTGTCTAGAATTCTTGTTACGATAAATTTATACCCATGAATTACTGAAGGGTCTTCTGGTCATGAAGTCTTAAGTGAAAATTTTGTCATCATTTGGTGTTATGCTCTAAACACACAATTTTCTGTGCTTTTTATTTAATTAAATTTTTTGAAGTTCATGAAACTTATCTTCTATTATCTGTTTGAAATTTTTTATCAAACTGGGCATGTAATGTTATCATCTCTTTATATTTATTGGTTTACAAATTCAGGGTTAAGCAGAGATGAGGAGACACTTCTACCAACAGTATATCTGAACAAGTAAATGTTCCTTGCCTAAACTTGTTTTCGTGTTCCTGTTCTTACCTCTTGCTTTCAGGTGCTGTTGGGAGTTAATGTCCAAATCTCTATGTTATTAGCTGCAGCAACTTAATAATAGCATTTCAAACGCTTTGATAAAGTATGAACAAATGAGAGGCACCCAATTCATTGTCAATTTTGTAGTCCTTGCCTAATATTAGGGCTTAAAAGCTCAACATAAGGTGGTCACGTTTATGAATACCCTATCTATATGATAGTTTTGGGAGTGACCCTTCATGCGATCTTCTTCTTAGGTTACCGGACAAATTTCCAGAAGGCTCTCGAGTATTTTTGGTTGATCCTATGCTAGCAACAGGTATTATTATTATTTTACTTGTGATAGTATCCGAATTTTCATTTTTGAGTATTCAGGATTAGTGAACCTCTTCAAGTGTCCATGTGCTGTATTTTCCTTTCCATCAAGAGCAGCTAGTAAATAGTATCAAAACATAAGCTATGCCCTAGTTCTGTAGTATTTCTCAATTTCTTTCTTTATCTTCAATTTCAGGTGGCACAATAGTAGCATCTTTGGATCTTTTAAAGGAACGCGGGGTTGACAACAAGCAAATCAAAGTGGTAAATATCATAGATTGCACTTTTTGTTTGAAACTGTGTTCCTAAATTTACATATAAGTATCTTAATGTGTACATATTTGTCAAACCAGTGTGTTGAAGTTTTATGTTGAGACAATTTCCGGTTGCTTATTACATTTGATGAACTGTTATGAAGTCAATTGAATTCTAAACTGTTTCCAGTGGGATAAGCTGGTTAAGTTCCATTTGATTTTATTGGTTCATACATCTCTAAGCCTAAGATAATCTGTCATGTCATAGATATCTGCTGTAGCTGCGCCTCCTGCACTTCAAAAGCTGAGCGAGAAGTTTCCAGGGTAATAATAATATCAATCAATAATTACAGTTTGAAACGAAGCTCAGCATTCCTAAACTCTGCATTTGTTTACTTTACAGGCTTCATGTGTACACTGGAATTATAGATCCTATTGTAAATGAAAAAGGGTAAGCACTTAGCTTCCATTGATGTAACGCTGCTAATGCGTATAATGTTGCAGACTGGTTTAACATAGTTTATGTCATGCTTGCACTGGTTTCAGGTTTATAGTCCCTGGACTGGGTGATGCTGGAGACCGCAGCTTCGGTACATAAGTCATTGCTCAAGTGTGCGGTGGACATCTGGTTTTTAGTTTTTACTCCTGCAGTTTTGGATGTTGAGCTTATTAAAAGGAATGGTTTCTTGATCTCAAGGTAAACTTAATCAGAAAAGTAAATGATACAGCAGTGGCAGAAAGCGTGACTGCGATTATTGTAGGATTTATCTGAAAAGTAATGTATGATTTATCCACCCAAATGAGGGTCTTGTGAGGCATGACATTGCCTGATTTATCCACCCAAATGAGGGTGTTGTGAGGCATGACATTGCCTTTTATTTTATAACGAGGGATAAAGAATGTTTGAGTTTGGTGTATGACGAACAATCGGAGGTATAAGGCGATGTACTCCCGAGCAATGCACTGTTGTTAGTTTGGTAACAACTTAATAACATGCTTCTGGATATGCACGTTCATTTCTTGCGAGGTTGCGCGTCACATTTCCTGCATGAGGAGGTAGAATGGAATAGATGTGAACGGTGTGTTGATTGAGATTATGCCACACCCTATGTGTGTTTAAATGTTTCTCCAAGTAAGAGAGAACAACGCATTTAAGAGTCCTTGTGCGGCAAGTAAGAGGTTGAAACGATCCATATGTAAAACTGCCCTAGGGTTCTGCTTAGCCATATATAAAACTGCCTAAGGTTCTGCTTAGCTATATGAATCTCCCAAACGTACCTGACATCTTTATAGCCGCCTTCTTCCCTCAACTACAATAGCATCAACCTCCGACTTCTCAAATAATGGATCCAGAAGAACCTGTCAGCAAACTAGAAGAATCTGTCAGTAAAAATACCGACATCGCACTACGAATGACCAAGCATCTGCTTATGTCGACTGAAGGTAAGGATAAGAACATTGTGTACTCGCCGGTTTCAATCCAGGTTGTGCTGAGCATGATTGCAGCTAGGACAAAGGGTTCCACTCTGACCAGTTGCTCTCTTTCCTAAAGGCTGAGTCCTTAGACCATCTCAATGAGAAATTTTTCATTGTGACACCCTCGCCTTGGATCTCATCCCTCTGGCTTTCCCAGATGGATCGGCCAGCGGGGGTCCTTGCTTGTCCTTTGCCAATGGCCCTTGGGTAGACAAGTCTCTCTCCCTCAAACCTTCTTTCAAAGAAGTGGTGGACAAGGGCCCCATCAAAGAGGTTCTTCCTCCAAATTCAGTTCAGTCATTTACCAAAACCATCCTTGGAAATGCTTTATAATTTAATGGAGCTTGGCAGGAGGGTCAAAAGTTTTATCCATTAAATTTAAAGTATGAATTCTACCTTGGCAATCGGAAATCATCAGTTAAGGCACCTCTTCATGAGAATCTCTAAGGAACATGTGCCTTTGATGGTTTCAAAGTCTTAAGAGCTTCCTTACGAAATGGGGTCAGACAGGTCGCTGCCTTTTCTCCATGTTTTTGTTTCTTTCGGATGAAGTAGATGGTCTACCAGCTTTGATCGAGAAAGTTTGTTCTTGACTCCAATTTCTTAGATCACCATGTTCCCCATAGACGTGTTCTTGTTGGTGACTTCAGAATCCCAATGTTTAATTAAGTTTTCTTTTGCCTTGGAAGCTTCCGAAATTCTCAAGGATATGGGACTTGTATTACCTTTTGACAGTTTGGCAGAGATGGTGGAGTCGCCAGCTTCAGGTGAGGAGGACCCTTGTTTGTCCGAAATATTTCACAAATATTTCATAGAAGTTAATGAGGAGCGCACTGAAGCTTCAACAGTTACTGTTTCTACTCATGGGTATGGTCGCGGTTACATGGAGGAACCGATAGACTTTGTGGCTGATCACCCTTTCCTATTTTTGATCAGAGAAGTAATGACCGGAACGGTGTTATTCACTGGTATACATGAAGACCACCCGCCGGCACAGCTGAATAATTCGTCCACCTTGTGTCGTGAATTAGGTGAACTTGTTTCTATTGAAACTCAAATCTTTGAGCTAACTTTTGATCACTGCATCGTGAAAACCCTCCCATTTGCCTTTTCACTTCTGACATTGCTCCCTTCCTGTTCATTGACACTTAATTTCGTCGAGGGCTCCAGTGCAGATCCATGGTAAGGCAGAGGCATTTCTTAAGCCTTAACATCTCAAGCAGCCACAGTATTTGTATCTATCAATCACTGCTGGATATACATAAAAGAACGTAATGTGCTAGTGAATCGGATCACCAGTACCACCCACTTCCAAGTCAATATGATTCTAGGAGTAAGAACATAGAGAGATAATTGCATCCTCCTTCCACATAACACAAACACATCCCGATTGTCCCGACTCAATACCATGAACACAAAATCAAGGTTCAGTCGTGACTTAAGTTTCTTCTGCAAGAAACAATGCTTCTCATCACGCAAAAAAAAAAAAATGGTGGGATCTTTGGAAGACATGAATCTCTTCAGCGCTTGAACTTCACGAGGGTTCCCATCCCAATAAAAATATGTTGCAAATCGTGAGACAAAAATCGTCTTTAGATGCAGGTCTATGCCATCCCACCTGTGCTTGGCTCTCCCCCGCAACACAACCTGTGGGAGGAATTGAGAGAATGTATAGGTTGCGTCTTCTTGGGAGGAATTGACAGAAGGAATAGCAACTGTTTCTTGTTCCTTGAATATCTCTCGTTTGGTTAGGCTGGAAAGGAATCGAATTTCATAAATTGACTGGTGTCAATGCCGTTTAATTGGGCAGCAAACCAAGAAACATCAGCATTGTCATACGACCACCCAGCTTTTTTGGTCGAGAGTTTACTTGGGCAGCAAACCTTTACTCTACAAGCGATCTGGTGCAGTGTGTTTGATAGGAACCAAGGCCCTGTTTGTTACAAAAAGCATCGTTGCGCTACAATCACATTTAGCTCTTGATCTGATCAGCTGCAGTGTATTTGATATGAACTAATTTCTATTGGCTGACTAAAATAGGTTTGGGAGTGACCCTTGATGTGATATTCTTCATTGGTTACCTGACAAATTTTCTGAAGGCTCTCGAGTATTTTAAGTAGGTTGGTCCTATGCAAGCAACAGGTATTATTATACTACATGGGACAACATCTGAAGTTTTTTAATTTATTTTTGTATGGTATTTGGAGTATCCTACTTTCATGCAATTTACGATACTTACTGGGGAACCAGCTTCGCATCTCATTCCGAGGTGCGTAGTTTCCACAATCACTATGAACACTCCCGATTAGTGCAATGGTGCATGCAACTTGTAGGATACGTATCTCCAGATTGGAATATCTTTGCAATCTCGTCCCTAGTACTTAAGTTATTCCTTGGACTCATCCTAATGAATAACGAACTTTCCTAATTCACTATTAGATCATACGCTCGATGGACAAATTCTCACTTGACCTTTGTTGTTGATGACTTGACATTGGGTTGCCTCGAATAACCAATTACATGTTGTCACGTCAATTGCTTTTCAGGCACACTCCAACAGAATGTAAGTCCCACATCGAGGAATTAAGAAAATAATATACAATATATAACTGTATGTTTCCACTCCTATTTATACCAAGGCATTTTGTGATAAAATCCACCACCTATGATCTAACAATAGGTGGTTAAGTTGAGACAATATTAGTGTGGTTAGGAGTGGGTCGATGATCTATTTCTCTGAATATATGACAAAGTCAACGGCCAACCACTGGTCGCCAGAAAAGTTACTGATATTGAGCGGCAATCATGTGATTATTTTAAAATATAATATTATTTATAAAATGATTTTGGTTGACTTTTCCATTAGTACCTAAACTAAAAATATTGTTTTGAATTTTCAAAATAAATAATTAAAAAGATATATGGTATACAGTTTGTACCTTCAAATTTGAGTGTAATTGCAAACTCATACATCATCTTTAAAACAATACATTATCATATATCTGCTAAATATTTTGTTAAATAAACTGTTAAGTGATGACTTTACTAATAGAAACAAATTAAAAAGTAAATGTTTAAGAAATTAATGGGACCACATCCTTCTTATTTGGCCTTAGATTAATTACCACGTACTCCGAGTGAAGATAGTCGAACAGAAACTAGTGGGAACTATGGCGATCTAGAGACTTTATGCCCCTTACCCTTTTCTAACACACATTGAGCCCGATGGACCACCAACCCTGAAATGGCGACGAAAAATCCTGACGGATGTGAAAAAGCATGTGCATATCTCGCTTCGTAAAGAAGCAAAGATGTATAGATGACACTCCGTTGCCGGATCTACCTTCCGTTGAAGAAATCCAAACGACTATAGCATGCTATAGTTAGTAGCCAGATGGATTCAATCGAGCCTAAATATTGTAACACCTCAAATGACTAGCATGTAGCTAGATGGATTTGATTTCTGGTTTTCTTACATGAAGTGTTACATGAAGTGCCTTATTTTCTTCTTACTAATTGAGGATGGCAGTGGGTGCAGATCATTGATCGACAAAATACTATATTTGCCTGCTACATGGACAAATAGAACCAACCCAAATTACAATCGAAAATTAAACGCAACAGATCAGATCCTAACCAAGAACAGACGGTAAAAAAAAGGAAAAAACAGAAAACAACATCATGGGAAGTTTTAATAGCTGAAGAGAAGCGTCAATTAATCAACAAATTACTTTGGAAAATCCCCAACTACAAGAATATTACTATTTGACTTGACTATATGCATGATACATATATACACATACACTTTAGTTAACCTGCATCCTTCTATGTTTTCGTCTGCGCTCCTTCTTAGTAGCGATCGTGTTTGACTGTAGCATGAACGGAATGATAGGGCCCTGGTAGGAACTATGTATTTAATGTATAAGGAGCAACAGCCAAAATCTAACATCTCCTATACCGCCAATACATGATCTCGAATATCCTATATTCCTTCGTTTTCTACACTTAAACGAATGTTTGCTGTATAGCTGGTCCCAACCATGGATAAAGCTAAAAGTAAAGGGGGAAAAAAGAAGAGACTGAATACTTAACTTATAAGGAGAAAGAAAACTGATAAATATTCAGCAACCGGCATAACCAGCATCGCAGCTAAAGCTGGCGTTTCCGGTGCTTCCATTGGCATTCTGGCGAGGATTGGAGCCGAGGCAGCAACATATGAGACCCACCAACAGTATGAAACCCCAAACCGTCGCTAAAGCTTCTGCCCAGTACAGATAATGCTCCATGATCTTGACTCTTCCAAATGGCATCCTCCTCCTCTTCCTCTTCCTCCTCCTCCCCCTGCTCCTCTGCTTAAGTTGCTTTCCACCGTCGTACCGTCTTTTTAAGTAACTTTACATGCATGCATGCTGGTTTCCCCACGCCACAGTA